CATTAAAAACGAGGGAAATTGCGTTTCTTTCTGAAACAGAGGTAGATTCTAGGTTCGGTTTATTACAAACCCAAAGTCCCAGGGGATGCGAGACAATGTGTTGGCTGCATGGGGCTTCCATGCACATCACTGGATTGCCAGTATCCTTACCTGGGACCCTTAAATGCTAGAATAATACCTTACACCCTAGCATGGTGGCAATCAAAAATGCACCGACAAATTTCGAAAATGTCCTCTAGGGGGCAGTAACGCCTTCATTGAGGACGAAGCACTGGCATTTAGGCCGGGTACACAGTACGTGTGCGACTGAGGCAATGTACGTGGTACACCTTCCGTGTGTGTGTGTGTGTGTGTGTGTGTGTGTGTGTGTGTGTGTAGGCACAATGTCCCTATGTGTGAGCTGGTTGCTGTCCATGGGTCTCCATTGCAGTAGGCTGCGTGTCATTGTGAGTGTGCAGGTGTCTTGTGTACCTGTGTCTAAAGGTGTGTGGGCACCAGGCTGGGGCTGTGCTCAGAAAAACCCTCTCCTCGGTGATTTATACAACTGCCCCAGCTTTCCAAGCAACACCAGGGTTTTGTTCCTTTGCTGCTATTGTTTTTCCCCCTTTGTTTTTGTTTAGCATTTGCTTTTGTTTTCATTCTGGACTGTGTACACATTATCCCCCTTCTTGGTCTTAGTATGTCTCCCTGTCTCCCACTCTATCTCTGTATCTTTATTTCTGCCTCTCTCTTTCTCTGCCTCTATCTCCATTCCCTCTCTTCATCTGTCTCTCACTCCCCCACCCCATCTCTAGTTCTCTAAATCTTTCTTTGTTTCCTGGTTTTATCCCTCCCCTGCTATTTCTCTACCTCAATATCTACTTATCTCCCTCCCTCCCTCTCTACATCCCTCCATTCCTGACTCTGTTTCTGTTGTTTTTTATTCTATCTCTTTCTGTCTATCTCTGTCTCTCTCCTTCTATTTTTGTATCTCTATCTCTGTTTCCATTTTTCTCTCTCTCTCCTCTGTCTCTCCCACTCTTTCCTTTCCTCTCTATGTACCTCTGTTTCTCTGGTCTCACTCTCCTTTTCTCTTCTTTCCCTTTCTGTTTCTATTTTCCTCTTCCTCTGTGTGTAAGACTGTCTCCCCTTTCTTTGTCTCTGGCTCTCTCCCCACACCTTTCGTTATCTCTGTCTCTCTCTGCTCCTATCTCTCTCTTCGCTCTTACTCCGTGTGTCTCTTTGACTCTCTCTTAAACTCCAGTTCTGTCTCTTTAACTTCCTACCCTGTCTCCTCTCAAGGCTAAGGTAGGTGTGTGTGTGTGTGTGTGTGTGTGTGTGTGTGTGTGTGTGTGTACACATTTACACAGAGCCAGCTGTCTGTTGGCCGGTCCACAGTTCTATGGGAACTATCAGGCTTTGAGGGCCCGCTGAAAGGGACCTGTCAACCCACTTCCCCTGTGTCCCTGCCCCAGCACCTTCTTGTGGCTTATTGCCACTGGCTCTGAGATTTACAGGTGCCATCAAAAAAGCCTGGCCCCCGGGGAGCTGTGGCAGGCCAGGTTGGACTGAGCTGGAAAACAGTGCAGATGGGAGACTTTTTCCTGGGAGAGGAGGGGTTAGAAAGACACCCACTCAAACTCCGCCTTCCCCAACCTCAAGCTCATCCCAGCCTCAAAAGTAACTGATCTTTTCCGGTGTCTGCCTTGCCAACTTTCCTCTTGAACCTTCCCTGTTATCTTATCACACTCCCACATCCTCTGCCCCAGCCAGGATTCTTCCTGTTTCCTGCCCAGGGAAGATTTTATAGAGGTTTCATCTGAACAAAGATCCGGAGGGGGTGAGAGAGTTACTCCTGTGGGTATCTGGGGGAAGCGAAGTCCAGGCAGAGGGAACAGCAGAGCAAAGCCCTGAGGTGGGACCACAGATGGTACACTTGAAGAGGCACAGGAGGTGACTGCGGGTGGAACAGAGTAAGGGGCAAGGGATGTGAGGTGCGGTCAGAAGGATGGCTAGGCCAGATCATGTAGGCATGGTGAGGGCTTTGTCTTTTATTCTGAGTGAGATGGGAGCCATAGGAGGGGCTGTGAGTAGAAGTCAAATATGCGATGACTAGGGATTCAACAGGATCCTGCTCTCCCACTCAGGCACTGCCCTGCTTTAGTTCTTTTCCTAGAATGCATCACTTTTTATTTTATTTTATTTTTAAAATATATTTTATTAATTTTTTACAGAGAGAAAGAGAGAGGGATAGAGAGTCAGAAACATCGATCAGCTGCCCCCTGCACATCCCCCACTGGGGACGTGCCCGCAACCAAGGTACATGCCCTTGACCGGAATTGAACCTGGGACCCCTCAGTCCGCAGGCTGATGCTCCATCCAGTGAGCCAAACCGGCTTCGGCTAGAATGTATCACTTTTTTAAAATAAATATATTTTTGTTGATTTTAGGGTGGGAGAGGGAGAGAAAGATAGAAGCATCAATGATGAGAGAGAATCATTGATCGGCTGCTCTTTCAGCAAATCCCACTTGGATGTTTCCAGGCAGCCCTTCCTGAGCCATTAGCCCATTTCTTCCCTCAGTCAATTGGAGAGTGTGAGAGTCTATATGCCCTGCCATGAGGAGCTTTTGTTCTCATAGGGAGAGACAGGCATTAAAGCAAAATTTAAAGGTAAATTAAGCCCGGCCAGCGTGGCTCAGTGGTTGAACATCGACCTATGAACCAAGATGTCACTGTTCAGTTCCCAGGCAGGGCACATACCTGAGTTGCAGGTTTGGTCATTCTGACCGCACCTCACATCACTTGCCCCTTACTCACTCTGTTCCACCCACAGTGACTCCTGTGCCTCTTCAAATCTACCATCTGGGTCCCACTTCAGGGCCTTTGCTCTGCTGTTCCCTCTGCCTGGACTTCTCTTCCCCCAGATACCCACAGGAGTAACTCCCTCACCCCCTTCGGATCTTTGTTCAGATGACACATAAAACCTTCCCTGTCCACCTCATCAAAAATTGCATCTCCCCTACCCCTAACACTTCCTATCCCCCTTTCCTCCTTTTTTGTTTGTAGGAATTTACCATCATCTGACTTACTATACTTCATCCATGTATCTTTTTATTTTTAAATCAAGAATGTCAGCTCCATAAGTCAGGGATCCTTTTCTCATTCACAGCTGCATCCACCATGCCTGACATACAATAAATACTCAATAAATGGTTTCTCTCTCTCTCTCTTTTAATATATATTTTATTGATTTTTTTTTTTTTTTTTACAGAGAGGAAGGGAGAGAGATAGAGAGTTAGAAACATCGATGAGAGAGAAACATCCATCAGCCACCTCCTGCACACTCCCCACTGGGGATGTGCCCACAACCAAGACACATGCCCTTGACTGGAATCCAACCCTGGACCCTTCAGTCGGCAGACCGACACCATCCACTGAGCCAAACTGGTTTCGGCAATAAATGGTTTCTCTTAAAGAAAACATTTTATTTATGAAAGAGAGAGAGAGAGAGAGAGAGAGAGAGAGAGAGAGAGAGAGAGAGAGAGAGAGATTTGTTGTTCCACTTCTATATGCCTTCATTCATTGCTTCTTATATGTGCTGTAACTGGAAATCAAACCCACAACCTTGGCATATTGGGATAATGCTCTAACCAAATGAAATACCCAGACAGGGAAATAAATGTTTTTTCAATGAAAGAATACACACAAGCATATCTACATCTTTATACTCACACAAGCATATCTACATCTTTATACTCTCTACCTTACTTAAACTAAAAACCCAAGTCCTGATCATCACCCACAGCCCTCCACGACCTGGCCTTGGACACCTCTACGGCCTTACTTTCTATCACTGTCTCCCTCACCTGCCCTATTCCAACCACACTGGTTTTCGCACTGCTCCTTAAGCAGGCTAAGCACTTGCTGATATGAATAAATACACCTATTTAGTGAGTGGCCACCAGTATTAACAAGAAAACAAAAACAACCAAAAGAATGAAACAGAGTAGAAACTGAGAGTATATTAGACATAGATGTGAAACTTTTGATTCAGCTGTGTGTGCACACGTGTGTGTGTGTGTGTGTGTGTGTGTGTGTGTGTGTGTGTGTGCGCGCATGCACGCTGTATTGCAATGTAAAATCTTACTATGGATGGCAATAAATACTATGGGGAAGAGTCCAGCTGGCATGGCTGAGTGGTTGAGCATCGACCTATGAACCAGCAGGTCACAGTTTGCTTTCCTGTCAGGGCACATGCCTGGGTTGCTGGCTCGATCCTTGATGTGGGGCCTGCAGGAAGCAGCCGATCAATGATTCTCTCCCATCATTGATGTTTCTCTCTTTCCCTCTCCCTTCCTCTCTGAAATCAGTAACATGTTTAAAAAAAAGGGGGGGGGGGAGCCACATCAACATCCCTGCCCCACACACCCACCAGCATAGCAAACCTAGAGATATGAAGTGTCCTCACTCAGCAAGGATGGGGTAGAAGCATCAGTGGGCCAGGTCCAGGGCCTGACACCAGCCGGGGAGTAAGCAGGGGTGGCTACACAGACACGCTAACACTGCCCCTTCTGTTTCTTCCTCACTTTTTCTTTCCATGTTTCTCCCTGTCTGTCTTGTTTCTCTCCCTCCCTCTCCTTCCCTCTCTCCCTTCTTCCTCTCTCTTCCTCTCCCCTATCTCCCTGTCCCTCTCCCTCTCTATCCCTCTCCCTCCTTCTTTTCCCTTTTCTGTCTTTCTTTTCACCCCTCCATTTCTGTCTCAATTTTTTATCCATTTCTATCTTTGTTGTCATTTTCCATCTCTCTTGCCTATCCTTTCTCACTCCTTCTCTGTGCCTCTGTGTGGTTTTTCCTCTCTGTCTCTCTCTTACCCTCATCTCTCTGTGTCTGTGTCTGTGTCTCTCCCACTCCCCCCACTTGCAGGTGCAGCCCAGCAGGACAACTGATGGAGTCCCCCAGAGCCCATCGAGTACCAGACTGGCTGACTCCATAGGGTTGGGAGCAGCCCCTGCCCTTCATTATGGCCAACACCACTGGCGAGCCCGAGGAGGTGAGCGGTGCTCTGTCCCCACCATCAGCATCGGCCTACGTCAAGCTGGTGCTGCTGGGACTGATCATGTGCGTGAGCCTGGCGGGCAACGCCATCTTGTCCCTGCTGGTGCTCAAGGAGCGTGCCCTGCACAAGGCTCCTTACTACTTTCTCCTGGACCTGTGCCTGGCCGACGGCATCCGCTCTGCCGTCTGCTTTCCCTTTGTGCTGGCTTCCGTGCGCCACGGCTCCTCCTGGACCTTCAGCGCGCTCAGCTGCAAGATTGTGGCCTTTATGGCTGTGCTCTTTTGCTTCCATGCGGCCTTCATGCTGTTCTGCATCAGCGTCACCCGCTACATGGCCATCGCCCACCACCGCTTTTATGCTAAACGCATGACACTCTGGACATGTGCAGCCGTCATCTGCATGGCCTGGACCCTGTCTGTGGCCATGGCCTTCCCACCCGTCTTCGACGTGGGCACCTACAAGTTTATCCGCGAGGAGGACCAGTGCATCTTTGAGCATCGTTACTTCAAGGCCAATGACACGCTGGGCTTCATGCTGATGTTGGCCGTGCTCATGGCAGCCACACATGCTGTCTATGGCAAACTGCTCCTCTTTGAGTATCGTCACCGCAAGATGAAGCCGGTGCAGATGGTGCCAGCCATTAGCCAGAACTGGACATTCCATGGCCCCGGGGCCACCGGCCAGGCTGCTGCCAACTGGATCGCTGGCTTTGGCCGTGGGCCCATGCCACCAACCCTGCTGGGTATCCGGCAGAATGGGCATGCAGCCAGCCGGCGGCTGCTGGGCATGGACGAGGTCAAGGGTGAAAAGCAGCTGGGCCGCATGTTCTACGCGATCACACTGCTCTTCCTGCTCCTCTGGTCACCTTACATCGTGGCCTGCTACTGGCGAGTGTTTGTTAAAGCCTGCGCTGTGCCCCACCGTTACCTGGCCACTGCTGTTTGGATGAGCTTCGCCCAAGCTGCTGTCAACCCAATCGTCTGCTTCCTGCTCAACAAGGACCTCAAGAAGTGCCTGAGGACTCACGCCCCCTGCTGGGGCACAGGAGGTGCCCCGGCTCCCAGAGAACCCTACTGTGTCATGTGAAGCAGGCTGATAGGCAGACAGGCAGGGAGAAGGTCATGGCCACTACCATGGGGCTAACAGAAAGGGAGGGGTAGGGCCCCATGCAGAAGCCTTTCTTTCTGAGCTTCAGCCCCAGCCCCTCAAACCACCCGGAATCTGGGCACCTTTGCCAACACCTCCCCAGGGGTGGGGGACCGGGAAAGAGGTTTTTCTAATTCTAGGGCCTGTTTCTGCTGCCTCCTTTTCCACTTCTACAATCTTCTCTTCTCTTCTCTTCTCTTCTCTTCTCTTCTCTTCTCTTCTCTTCTCTTCTCTTCTCTTCTCCTCTCCTCTCCTCTCCTCTCCTCTCCTCTCCTCTCCTCTCCTCTCCTCTCCTCTCCTCTCCTCTCCTCTCCTCTCCTCTCCTCTCCTCTCCTCTCCTCTCCTCTCCTCTCCTCTCCTCTCCTCTCCTCTCCTCTCCTCTCCTCTCCTCTCCTCTCCTCTCCTCTCCTCTCCTCTCCTCTCCTCTCCTCTCCTCTCCTCTCCTCTCCTCTCCTCTCCTCTCCTCTCCTCTCCTCTCCTCTCCTCTCCTCTCCTCTCCTCTCCTCTCCTCTCCTCTCCTCTCCTCTCCTCTCCTCTCCTCTCCTCTCCTCTCCTCTCCTCTCCTCTCCTCTCCTCTCCTCTCCTCTCCTCTCCTCTCCTCTCCTCTCCTCTCCTCTCCTCTCCTCTCCTCTCCTCTCCTCTCCTCTCCTCTCCTCTCCTCTCCTCTCCTCTCCTCTCCTCTCCTCTCCTCTCCTCTCCTCTCCTCTCCTCTCCTCTCCTCTCTCTCTCTCTCTCTCTCTCTCTCTCTCTTCCTCTCTCCTCTTTCTTCTCCCTTCTCTCCTCTCTCTCTCTCTCTCTTCAGAAAAAGAAAACAAAAGTGAAAATGCAGGTTTTTCTACTATCAGCTGAGGAGTCAGGCTTTCTTGCTTTAATGTCTCTCCTTCTGACACTGTCGAGAATGGGGAAATTTGTCCTGTAAAATAGACTTCCAAGGGCTCTTCCGGCCCCCTCTGCTCCCATGCACCCTCCCCTTCCAAGTCCTCTAGCAAGGCCTGGATATTTAGGGGGAAGCTGATCTGTTGACAAGGGGGACCAAAGGGGGTGCAGGGTCCCCAGGGAGCAGGGATGTTTAATTGCTATGTCGTGTGCAATGTTGTTTTAGGCTAACTCTGGTTTCACGCCCAGTCTCCTCTTGCTACCCATGTCCAGACATCCCAAGTGTTTCTTGAGCATCTGAGAAGCCAGGAGGGGCGGGAGAAGGGCCCTCCGGATGGGCACAGGCTAGTGAAGAGCAGGATGTGAGCTGCACGCCTGGAGCTTGACAGTATTCTCTAGAGCTGCCTCCTGGATCCCCAGCCCCCAAATCTTCTTTCTAAGGGTGGAAATCCACTCCAGCTCCATGAGGGCTGATGTAGGTGCCATACAGGCAGGAGCAAGCCCCCAGGAAAGTATAGGGAGAAAGCTGAACTCCCCAGAGTAGCTGGATTTGAGAGCCTGGCATCAGAGCGGAATGCAATCCCAGAATTGTCTCCTGGATTCATGCTACTCTCCGAAAGATGAAAATTGTTGTTGTTGTTGTTGTTGTTGTTGTTGTTGTTGTTTTGGGGGAGGGGCTTGGTATCTCATAGAGGATTTGAATCCATCCCTCTGTGACCTCTTTTTGTCCTCTCCAAGCCTCAGGGCCCTCAAGCCCTTCCGTGGTTGCCCTTGGTCTTCTGGGCCGTCAGCTCCCAACTTGCCACCCTCCACCCTTACCACCTCCCAACGTGGAACAGACTGTAGCCACATTCCCCAGGTGGGTGACCCCAAGCTTCCCTCCCAGGGCAGAGTCCACTCTGGGATCACCCCAAGGACAGTTCTTGTGGCTTGGGGATCCAAGCTGGCACTCCTTTGCCTGGTCTCGCCCAGGTTCTCTGTGGGCGGGGCAGATCTGTATTTATCCACCCCCTTTTCCTTCCCTACTGAAACCCTAAGTCCTAAGCCTTGACCCAGGAAGAATGGGGAGGGCACTCTAGGCAGGAGAGACATTACTGAGCCTGGCTGTGGAGTTGTCCTGGAAAGGCAAGCCAGAGTGGCTGAGAGGCTGGGGGTGGGGAGGGTACCTGTTCTCTCAGTGATAGTGATGGGGGTGCCTTTTCTAGGGGGTGGGGTGGGGGGCCACGGGGGTGGGGTAGATAGGGTACATTCAGGAGGGTTTTCCTCCATTTCTTTTTTCTAACTGCCTGGATTCACCATTGGATTTTGTAAATGGAAAACTGAAATGAACAATGCTATATTGGATGTTTTCTCTTTCTGACTGTGTGTGCGTGTCTGTCTGTGTGCGTCTGTGTGTCCATGTGTCCTGTCTGCATGACCACATGTGGGGAGGTATGATTGAGTGAGACGGTGTGTTTGTGTGATTTTGTATGGGGAGGCACCCCTGCCTGGTACACATGCGTGAGTAAATGCCTGTATGTGGAGACATATATGGCATGCACACACACATACATGTATGCACCTAACTGAGAGGAGACAAACTACAGTATGTGCCTGCAGCAGCAGGAAGTCGAGTGGCCAGAGAGATAGAACTTGAAAAGTACATATGTATATAGCAAGAGGAAGATTCCCATCTCATCAGATCTTCCTCCCTTGGCACAGGTTCTGAACATGGCAGACAAAATACTTGAGAACCCCATTCTCTCCCCAAAGAGCCCCCAAGTAGCACTTTCAACCTCCCAAATCAGTCTCTTCTCCAAAACCCAAACAAAGTATTCCTGAAACTGGGCCGCCATGGAGAATGGGGACTGGGAATTGGGGATCCAACTTGGGGAGAGCTGATGGGTTAGAAAATGCCCCCCACAAAGTAATGGCTTCTGGAGGGCCTGCTCGGTCTGGGGTGGGAGATCTGAAAGGTCCGCTTTATGCAGCTGGGGCTTTAGTAAGCTTTGGCTAAATTCAGAGTGAGGGATGTCACAGGAGGGAACCCAAGCCTGGAGGTCTACCCAGCCAGACTGTTGCCTGGGCACTCAATTATTATTTATTTACTTATTCTCTCAGGTGCACAGAATTGAGTTGACCGTACTCCTCAGTTCTTGGCACGGCTATATCATCATTGATCCATGCGAAGCCCTTTGTTTATTTTGGTTTGTTCTGTCCCCTCCATCAGCCATCCCTGATCCCATCCCCCCGCCCACATAGGCACCCACTCTCGTGTATTTAACATACGTCTTTCCAAACCACCATTCATGTGTTTATTTACATATATGTGTATCTGTGAAAAAAAAATATATGGTATTGTTATGTGTTTTAATTTACATAAACAGTATTGTACTATAAATCTTGTTCTGTTTCTTTTTTCACTCAACATTCTGTTTTGGAGAGATCCAGCCATGTTGCTGTATGTAGATCTAATTCATTCTAGTGGTCATCTTACACACACATATCACATTTTCCTTACCCAACCCCCTGGAGATGGGTTCTAGGTTGCTTCCAGTTCTCTACCACAACAAGGCTACAATGGGTAGTTTCTTCCACTTCTCTTTAAGGATATCTCATTTAGAGGAGAGGAAGCTGAAGCTCAGAGAGTCACAAAGTGGAGAAATAAACCCCTGATTTGAATCCTTACCAGAGCCAGAACCCACCACCATGCCCCATCAGAGACCTGTCCGTCTGGTCAAAAAAAAATATTTTTTTCAAATACAATTAAATAATCCAGTATATACTGGGGAAAGGGAGAGGAAGGGACAGGAAGAGGTATTGAGTCTATGGAAAAGAAAGCCCTAGAAAAATCTAGCCTACGAACTGAGTTACATGTTCATGACGCACAGATGTTACCGTTTTTATTTATTTATTTTGTGTGTGCGTGATTATGTCTAGAGCCATTTTGCAGAGATGGAAAACTGCCACGTCCAAACCTGGCCTCAAATCCAAGTCCCTAGGTCTCCACTCAGGTCCCGGCTCAGGGTTAGAGCAACCCGAGCCCCCAGGGGCCTCACAGGGGCCTCAGTGGGGTCTGAGGCCTGGCAAAAGCTGGGGGCAGGGCCTGAGACCAGGCAGATTTAAGAAGTGCGTAGTTGCCTGCGGCAGGGAAAAGGGGGGGAGGTGAGCGGAGGAGCGGGGAGGGGGGATGGATGAACGACAGCGAGGCTCTCCGATTTGATTTGAGCACGACGTGCTCAGCGCCTGCCTTTATTTTTTTGGTTTTGATTTTTTTGATCGTCAGAACCACTGGTAACACTGATGAATAACATGACAACGGTTTCAGGGGTACGGTTTTATAATACATCTGTAGAACGTATGGCGTTCTTTACCTCAAGCCCCCCTCTCCCCCTCCCCTCTGATTCAATAAAAAAAAAAAAAAAAAAAAACCACTGGTACGTTTCCCATTGGCCGAAACGTTGGCAGGGTGAGGGAAAGGGGTTTCTTCCCCAGGCTTTTCCCTCAGCCAATCGCCCCTCAGCGTTCTCCCCGGTCGCGCGGGGGCGACAGCCCCCTGATTGGCAGAGCCGAGGGCAGCCAATGGGAACGCGCCGAGGGGGGCGGTGTTGGCAAGCAGATTGCGTGAGAGCGGGCGGTGGTCTCGCGCACGCCAGCGCCGCCTCGGCAGCGGGCAGCCAATGGCGAGGCGGGACAGGCCCCTGACGTCACGAGGGGCGGGGCCTGCGCGCTGGGCGCGGAGGGAATAGGCCGGGCGCCGCGGGCGGGGGCGCAGAGCGGAGGCGCGAGCGAGCGGAGCTGGTGGCGTCCGGGCGCGGCCGCTCCGCCTCAGGTGCGAAGGGAAGCGGCGGCCTGAGGGAGAGAGAGAAGCGGTGAGCGCCGGGGCCCCGAGCGCAGTCGCCATGGACCGCCCTGACGAGGGGCCTCCCGCCAAGGCCCGCCGCCTCAGCAGCTCCGAGCCGTCTCGGGATGACGCGCCGCCGCCGCCGCCACCTCCGCCGCCGCCGCCGCTCATGCGACTGCCCCTGCCTCCGCCGGAGCAGCGCCCGAGGCTCCAGGAGGAGACGGAGGCGGCACAGGTGCTGGCTGACATGAGGGGGGCGGGCTTGGGCCCCTCTCTGCCCCCGCCGACCCCCTATGTCATTCTGGAGGAGGGGGGAGTGCGCGCGTACTTCACCCTGGGCGCCGGGTGTTCCTATTGGGATACCGAATTCGAGGCGGGGTACGGGGAGGCGCCCCCTACCTCAGAGAGCCTGGAGGCTTACTCTGCTGAGGAGGTGGCCGGGGGGAGCGTGGAGATTGATATTCAGGTGACGGAGCCCGAGCCCGAGCCGGAGCCCGAGGCCAGCGGCTATAGCGGGCAGGCCTTCAATACCTGTAGCTTAGGGGGGCGGGAGTACCAGGTGGTAGGCGGGCTGCCGGGGAAGGAAGAGGCCATTATCATAGTGGAGGATGATGAGGAGGAGGTGAAGGAGAACGTGAGGAAGAAGAGGAGGAGGAGGAGGAGGAAGCAGAGGAAGGTGAAGAAGCCCAGCAGGGAGGTCAATCCCGAGAAGCTCCAGTACATCCTGCAGGCCCTGGAGGGCATTCAGCTCGACCTGGAGGCGGTGAATATCAAGGCTGGCAAGGCCTTTCTCCGTCTGAAGCGCAAGTTCATCCAGATGCGCAGACCCTTCCTGGAGCGCAGAGACCTTATCATCCAGCACATCCCGGGCTTCTGGGTCAAAGCAGTATCCTTGATACCTAAATCCATGGGCTGCCATGGGCCCATGACAGAAAGGGGGGAGGTGGGCGGGGGGAGGGAGACGGGGTGAAAGTGTGGGGGCGGGCCTCGATTGAATGACTACGTCTGGTGGAGGAGGGACGGAAGGAGGGGGGCGAGACATCAGCGAAGCTGGATTGGAGATGGGAGGGGGGGAGGGGCGGGAGGAGGAGCCACACGACATAAAAACTGAATCACAGATGGGAAAGGGGGAAGAAGCACATAACATAAATGGATCATACATATGTAATACTACATGCAACACTTGAAAAAAAATAACTAAAAAATAGAAAGAAATGGTTCACAGGCAGCGAAAAGGGGTGGGTGGAAGAGGGGCACATAGCAGAAACATTGGACCATAGATGGTGAGGGGAGGAGGGAGGGGCACACAGAAAATAAACTCTTCAAGCCTGGGTGTCTGCTTAGATGCTATGGAGAGCCTAATCCTGGAGTTGAATGAAGGAAGGGGAGTAAAAAAAATCCCATTCACTACTGGTGATAACCCCATCTCTGAGGGACACACATACAGACATGCAACATGTTAGGAACATGGATTTAACATACTAACAGAATTAAATAGATACAGATCCTTGACACTCCCATACAAAGTATTCATGATCATAGACCCTCAGTACCCAGTTTAATTTGGATAACCCCTCACATCTAGACACATAACATCATGTGAATAAAGATTCATAACAGCCAGATATAGCATTACTTGGACATGGGCCTTCAGCCTCCTGGCACACAATGTTTTGTGAACACAAGCCCTCAGCATCCAGAGACACATCACATGCACATAGACCCTCAGCACCCAGACACAACAAGTAAGAACCATGGCAAGGCCACCTAATACAGAGGTTTTAAAAAGCATAAACACAAGCTCTCACTGCATGGTATCATGGAAATAAAGTACCCACTGTTCCACACACATCAAATGCACACAGGAGGATTTCTGCTCCAGCTTCTCTTTTGCTTTGCCCTGCCTGACCTGACTTGCTTGGCCTTCCCTCCCTCCTCTCAAAGGTTAGTCACTCCTTAACCTAAACCGCTCCCTCCCGCAGTTCCTCAACCACCCCAAAATTTCAGTCATGATCAGTCCACGCGACGAAGACATTTTCCGCTACTTGACCAACCTGCAGGTCAGGCCAAAGCCGTTTTTCCTAAGACCAGTCAAGGAGTCTGGTCCTTGAAGGTGAGGTGGGGGGATGGTGGGGTGGTGATCCCATCATTACCCCCACCCTGAGCAGGTGCAGGATCTCAGACACATCTCCATGGGCTACAAAATGAAGCTGTACTTCCAGACAAACCCCTATTTCACAAATACGGTGATTGTCAAGGAGTTCCAATGCAACCGATCAGGTAAGAGACAGTCCCCAGGGCAAATCCATGGGATCCGCGACTACCCTTGCCCAGTGCCTTCTCCACAGCTTCCTTTCTCCCCAGGCCGGCTGGTGGCTCACTCCACCCCAATCCGCTGGCACCGGGGCCAGGAACCCCAAGCTTACCTGGGCACCAACTACAGCTTCTTCAGCTGGTTCTCAAATCACAGCCTGCCAGAGGCCGACAGGATTGCTGAGGTGGGGTCCCTTCTGAGAAGGCCTTGCTGGGCTCTCCTCTAGGTGCCAGGAGCAGGCTCTGGGGCTTGTACTCACAGCTCTGTTTTCTCCTTTCTCCCCTCTTTCAACAGATTATCAAGAACGACCTGTGGGTCAACCCTGTGCGCTACTACATGATGGGAGTAGGCGGCTACAGAGCACACAGAAAGAAGCACGACAAGAGAGAAAGGTGATGGGGGTTGGAGGCTGAGGTGATGTTTTAGTGTCCCACCGGGTTTATAAAGCCAAAACACCTTTAAGACATTTCAGTCCAATATGTTTTACCAGTGGCGAATGATGCCCAGAAATGGGGTGTGATTGGCCTTACGTTATACAGTCAGGGGCAGAAATGGGACTCTACCCACCCTAGCTTGAGCCTTTGTAGCCTACTGCCTCCCCAGTTACTTCCCATCTTTCAGTGTCTTATCTTGTCCCTCTCTCCCCCCGCCCCAACTTATATTCAACCGTAGGTTTTCCCAAATTAAAAAGAGGGACAGATATGAGGTGGTGATCATGGATGACTTCGATGACTATCAGCTGATGCAAGAAATTATTGGCGATACCTCAGACAGTGATTTCATCACCGATGACAATGAGACTGTTCACGACGTCAAGATCTCTGACTTCATGGACACCACCGACTGCTTCGAGACCTCGGACAATGACTTTACTGACTTCAGTGATAGTTTCTGTGACAGTGAGAGCGTGTTTGAGTGTGAAAGCGCAGACCACCACTTCACCACCGGAAACAATGACAGCGCCTATGAGCACGTGTATGGCGGTGAGAGCTCCAGAGGTGGCGGCTATAGCAACAACTTCGACGACAGCAGCAGCAGCGACAGCGACTTCAGAGACAATGAGACCAGCGATGATGAATTTAATGATGGCAACGAAGGCGACAATGAAGGCAGCGATGATGACGGCAATGAAGGCGACAATGAAGGCAGCGACGACGATGACAGAGACTTTGATTACTATGAGAATGTATTTGAAGAGCCTGAGAAGGGTCTGCTTCACATCAACAACCTGGGCTTCTATGAAGATGAGCTACAGGACGTCTTCATAGACGAATCATCACTGGAGGAAGAAGATGAGGAGGAAGGTGAGCTGGACCCTCTCTTGTCCTCCCTCCTTTTTCTTTCCTCAGGGCAAAGCTGGCCAGGACCAGGGAATCGAGACGTGAGCACGTGAGCACCGTCCACTCCTGTGGTGAAAAGAAAAAAGCATCTGTGCAGCTTGTAAAGCAAAGCAAGGCCAGGAACATTTAATTTACAAATGTAACAAAACCAACGAAATATGTTTCAGTTCTAGCTGATGGGTAGGTAGGTTGCAAAATACAAAGAGGAGGGGGGAGGTTTAGGAGCGTGTCGGTGGGAAATTAAGGACTGGTAGAGAGGGAGAGGGAGAGAGAAATAAAGCAGCAAACACATTACAATTCAGTACACTCTGTACCCAGCCCTAGCCTTCTGGGAACTCCCAGTCCTGTTCAGGGAGCCGGGGGCAAAGTGAACATTATGCTCTGTGAGCCCCAGAGGAGGGAACAGCTAATTGTACCTCAAGAATTGAGGAAGGGGAGAGCTAGAAAAGGAACTGACACATTTGAATTGTCTTAGGGCTGTTCTGGGGCATTCTCAGGAAAAGCGATCACATGAACAAGGACCTGGAAGGGTGAAAATGCATATGTTGGGCACAGTTTCCCAAATTGTCTTCTGAGGACCCTTCACCAGTTCCTGAAAGCTGCTTCTCACAAAAAAAGGTTCAATGGTTGCATATGTCGGGGAAAATACTGCATACATGAATATCTTCATGTAGTCACATGTACATTAACACCTTAAAGGCTCTGAGAAGCCCTTTTGTAAGAAACCTATTTAAACTTCGTGAAACCCAGCATTTTTCAAGCTTCTTGACCACAGAAGCCATTTTTTTTTCTTCTCACCAAAGAATGCCTTTTCAGAAACGAGGATGGGGTTTGAGGGAAAAGATGGTATTTCAGGTGACTCCCAGGTTTGGATCCGGCCTCGAATGACTGGAGAATTGAGCCATTTCTTGGGAGGGAAAGGGCATGGTGGTGAGATTGACGGAATGTAGGGAGAAAGCCAGAGTTGGAAGGGTTGTTGGACATAAGGCAGGCCTCTGGAGGAAGACCAAGCACTCCTGAGAATTTTTACCTTGTAGTCAAAAAGTTCCATTGAGGGCAGGGAACCAAGGAAGGAGGCAGTAAGTGAGTACACTCAATCTGGACATTGGCAGCTTGACTGGGGAAATTGAGGCAGCAGCTGGCCCCATTCCCTCCTATGGGATGAACAGCGCTCTCTGCCCAGCCCTGGGGTGGGAGTAGGGGTGGGGGGTTGGGTGAAGAATACAGACTGGGCCTGTTTACAACATACTATGGAGAAGGAGCGAGGGAACTGCCTGGAGATGAATAGGTTTATTCAGCTGAAGTCACAACTCAGGAAGGCACACACATTGTTACATGCAGGAGGAGGAGAAGCTGCTTTCAGATATGTATCCATCTTGACAGAGGCAAGGAGCCCCCTCTACCTGTTTCCTCTCCCCCCCCCCCACACACACACACTTGGCTGCTTGCTCCAAGCAGAAGTGCTTGGCAAATGGTCCCTGGTCCCCCAGACGCCCTAGTTGGGGGCTATGTTCCATTAGAAGGGACATGTACCTGCCCGTCTAACCACCCTCCATTTTTCGTTTTTCCCTCTCTCTCCCCTGTGCTGCCAGAAGATGAGGACACCGATGACGAGGAAGGAAGTGAGGAGGAGGAGGAAGAAGAGGAAGAAATGGGAGAAGACTGGGACTCTGACTCCGACGTGGAGGAGGTGTTTCCGGTCCAAAACGCTTGGGCCAACCCCCGTAAGAGGGGCACCACCGGCTAAACAAATGTTTTCACCCTTGCCATTGTGGCCACTGCCTCTGTGTCCCTCTCCCCTCCCTCCCATTTGCCCTCCCCCTCAGCTAGGGCCTTGAGGCTCCACATTGCACTTCTGGGGGGTGATCAAGTTCGTACACGGGTTTGAAGTTTATTTTTATGGTTTAGTAATTGCAGAGTTCTTATTTTGGGAGGAGGGAAAGGGGTCTCCCCCTTCCTATCAGCCCCCCTCCCTCGCAGGCTTCTGTGTGCTGCTACGTATTTATTGTGATGCCTTGGCCATGGCCCCTCTACCCCCCTCCTCGTGCTGTGTGGAGTGAACACCCCTGATCCCGAAGCCGGGAGGGCTGCTGTGGCCTTGGGACGGCTGCTGCCTCCCAGTTGTCCCAAGTCTCTCTCTCCTCCTCACTTTGCCACCTGCTGTGCCCGCTAGCCCGCATCGGTGTCTATGCAAGGCCGCTTCGCCATTGCGGTGTTTCTGTCCCCCACCCCCAGAAGCCCTGCTCATTCCCTGTGAACCCTGTAATCCTAATAAAATTGCCAGCAAATTCAAAGTGCTGCTTTGAGTCTTTTGTTCCGCCCGGTGCCCAGTTCCCAGCAGCAGTCTCCTTTCTGTAGGCCCATCTACGCACTGGCCTCCAAGATGGAGTTGTTAGGGTGGGGGGATTTGGCAGGCAGGGGGGGGGGTCTAGCTCTGCGGGGACTGCAGAGCTGTGGCGTCAGGCCAATGCGGACCATTCTGACCAATGGCAGGACGAGGCTGAGGAAGCCCCTCCTTCCCCTGGCTGCTGCAGTGGCCTCAGCCAGGTATCAAACAGCTTCCCACGCCTTCCCCTCGCGCATGCGCGCAGAGAAGCTCTGCGCCCTAGAACATCCATTTATCCAGTGATTCATCTTTTAATTTATCTTGCGTCAAACCTTTCTCCGGGCCTAGTGTGAGCTGAGCGGGGTCGGAATGAGCCAGAGGAATCCATTTTTCTCACATGAAGTAGAAAAAAACATCAGTTGGATAATGCAGGGGTGTCTTGGGGAGGGGGTGCAGGGTCCCTGGGAGAGAAGGCAGGAAAAGATGGCTCAGGTCGAGGTGTCCGCAAAGCAAAGAGAAATTACTATGTAGCTGTCTGGTTGGGGGCAGGAGGAGTTGGGAGTTGGGGGTCTGAAAGGCAGGCTTTATCTGGGAGATGTTTTACATTTTGGATACAGTGATTTTATTTCAGCAGAAACCAGAAACAACTATTCTTACAGAAAAGAACACTGTAACACTGTAACAATCAGGGTCAGTGTTCTGTAATATACCTCCAGAACTTTCCATCCAACGCCCTTATTTTGCTGGAAGGATTCAGATTTGTGTTTTAGAGAATGCCCTCTGCTGGCTGCCAGCAGAATGGATTGGAGGGAGATCAGTGAATAAAGCTATTTTTGCTTTATTTGAGAGGTGTTATGGGGTGGATACAGGTTTTGTGGGTTTTTTTAAAACTTATTTTAGAGATTTTAGAGTTACAGAATTATTGCTAGGGTAAGACAGAGTTCCCATATATCCTACAGCTAGTTTCTGCTAGTGTTAACTTCTCACATTGGTACAGTACATCTGTCATAATTAATAAACCAGTATTAATACTGTATTGTTAACTGAAGTCCATACTTTAGTCATATTTAATTATTTTTTACCTAATTTCCTTTGTCAGTTCCAGGATGCCGCCTTACATTTAGTCATCCCTGTAGGCTTCTGTTGGATATGAACAGTTTCAAAGACTTTCCTTATTTTTAATGACCTGGAGTCATCAACATTTGAGGGGTACTGGTCAGGTATTTTATATAATTTTCTCAATTAGGATTTGTCTGATGTTTTCTTCATGATTAGTGTGGGGTTGGGGAAGGAAGACCACAGAAATAAAGTCCTGTTCTCATTGCATCATATCAAGGGTACGTGCTATCAATATGCCTTATTTCTATCCATGTTAACCTTGCTGTCATGGCTGAGGTAGCGTATTCCGGTTTCTCAGCTGTAACATTACTCCCCCTCTCCACACTGCTTTGGAAGGAAGCCGCTCAGTGTAGCTCATGCTTTGGGAATAGAGGGTTATGCTCCATCACCTTGAGGGCCAAGTGTTTCCATAAACTAATTGGCACTGTCCCACACTAGAAATGTGTCTGTTCTATGAGAGCTTTTTTTTAAAAAAAAATATTTATTTACAGAGAGGAAGGGAGAGAGATAGAGAGTTTGAAACATTGATGAGAGAGAAACATTGATCAGCTGCCCCCTGCACACCCCCTACTGGGGATGTGCCCACAACCAAAGTACATGCCCTTGACCGGAATCGAACCTGGGACCCTTCAGTCCGCAGGTTGACGCTCTATCCACTGAGTCAAACCAGTTAGGGCTATGAGAGCTTTTAAGATGCTGGAACTGACAGGCTTTATTTTTTTCCATTTTAAACAAGAAGTTTATTTAAACAAGATGCTGGCCATGAAGGGGAAACTACCTAGGATTCATTGCTTTTAGAGTAATGTACCTCTACTTAAAGACAGAGTGCCCTATATGTAACAGCTATGTATAAAAAAGTTATAAAAACTGTCCTTGCCGAAACCGGTTTTACTCAGTGGACTGGAAGGTCCCAGGTTCGATTCTGGTCAAGGGCATGTACCTTGGCTGCGGGCACATCCCCAGTAGGAGGTGTGCAGGAGGCAGCTGATGGATGATTTTCTCTCATGGATGTTTCTAACTCTCTATCCCCCTCTCTTCCTCTCTGTAAAAAAAAAAAAAAAAAAAAAAAAAATATATATATATATATATATATATATATATATATATATATATATATATATTTAAAACTGTCCTTGGGTTTACAGTGATGAATGAAAAACATTAAAATTCTCCAATGGAATGAGATATGCAAGGACTTTTATGTTGTTCTTCTTGTTGTTAAACAGTGAGAAGTAAAATAACTAACTTGAATAGGAGATAAGAGCTGAATGAGCTTCCACTAAAGAAAGGGGGTATTGCCGAAACTGGTTTGGTTCAGTAAATAGAGCGTCAGCCTGCAGTCTGAAGGGTCCCGGGTTCGATTCTGGTCAAGGGCATGTGCCTTAGTTGTGGGCACATTCCCATTGGGGGGTGTGCAGGAGGCGGCTGGTCACTGTTTCTCTCTCATCGATGTTTCTAATTCTCTATCCCTCTCTCTTCCTCTCTGTAAAAAAAATCAATAAAATATATTTAAATAAATAAATAAATAAAAATTAAAAAAAGAAAGGGGGTATTTTCACAGAACCAGTCTTCCCCCATCTCATTTCCATCTGCTGTCAATAAGAACACACCACTGGCCATTTAGTTTCACATGCAAATGCTTGTGCACATACATCAGCTACTTTATGTACAATAAAGGAGCAAGGAAGGGGGAAATGAAAGAACAGAGAATACTGTACTATAATAGTCAGGATGCAATGTATCCACACTGCAGTTTTCTAACTGAGCATGTCTTCTTGGTCTGGAGGAACAGAGTTCTGGAGGACAGTAGCAAGTTTTCTTTTGAGCGGACACCTGTGTGCTGCTGGAACACGTGGATAGTATGTATCTTCATCCTCCATTTCCAGCTGTGTCTGTTTCATTGATTGGCTGCCCGTCAAATCGGAATCTGATCCGCCTCATTGACAAACCCTGGTGTTCACAACAGGCTTTCATTAGTTTACTAAGTGTGTGTGTCTCTCACCTTCAAATTAATGTGATCATTGCTCTCAGTCTTGACTCCTTCCTCGGGCTTTTGATCAGTCCTGGTGAGCACTGGAGTCTTCTCAGCTGCGGCTTCACAAAACAGGTACCAGGTCCGCACCAAATGAGCACACAGGCAGCACCAGGATTGGCAGAAGCTGCCAGGCTTTAGCTATGGGAAAAGAAGGATTGAGGGAAGTCAGGGATGGCTCCCAGGTTGCTGTGGAACCTTTGGCAAGGCCCCTTCCTCTCAGGGCCTCTTCTGTGAAATGATTGGAACACCAGATCTTGAACATACTCCATAATTCCGATGAATATTTTGGGGAGAGCATGGGGTCTTGGATGCCTCTAGTTCTGACTTGGCACCGCACTGTCAGAAGAGGGGAGGGGAAGCTCGGACCCAGAAAAGGGAACATCTTGCCTCAGGGCTAGAGTGGAGAATGTAGGATTCTGAGTCAAGACAAAGACTATTTCAGAGTTGGATGTGGCCTTAAGGACCTTCTAGAACAGTCCATTCCTTTTGTCCACAGGGAAGAGACAACTGCGGGCAATATCTGCAGCCAGTCCCAGTGAGCAGGTGGGGGAGAAAGCAGCAGGGGCAAAGGCCTGGAGTGGGCCAGGACAAGGTCAGCCTGGCAAGAAGATCCCTGCCAGTCTGAGTGACAGATGGCCTGGGCACCCTTGCCTCAATCCGCTCTGCCTCACGTGCCTCCCTCACGCTCTGTAGAGGGCCTCCGTTTTCCCATCTGCAAGCTTAGGCATCTGCCCAGGAGAGGCAACCTGCCTAAGTTCTCAAGATGGAATCCAGCTGAAACGGTTTGGCTCAGTGGATAGAGCGTCGGCCTGTAGACTGAAGGGTCCCGGGTTCGATTCCAGTCAAGGACATATACCTTGGTTGCAGGCACATCCGCAGTAGGGGGCATGCAAGAGGCAGGTGATGGATGACTTTCTCTTATCGATATTTCTAACTATCTCTCTCCCTTCCTCTCTGTAAAATATCAATAAAATATATATATATATTTTTTTTAAAAGATGGAATCCAGCCCCAAAGTAGACCTCTGAAGCCTGGCCTTCATCACACTCTTCTCTCTGATTCCTCTCTGTTTTCCTAATGAAATCTGTAGGCCCTCATTTTGGAATTTGAGGCTCCGCTCCACCCACCCTGTCAGAGCTTCAGAGACACTATTAGGAGCCAAGAATGGGATTCTAATGTAGTTAGCCAGGGTGCTCATGCCCTGGTCTGAGCCATGGAAGGAGAGAATGTCCTTTGCCTAGAGCCGTGATCGGCAAACTGCGGCTCG